TCTTCTTCTTCTTCAATGATATAATAGGTCCCTTTTGTTATTTCAGTTCAACTCATTTCATGTTATCCACAAATCGATGGAATGTTTCACAATTGTACGTCAATGTGTAATATGGATTTTTTTCTTACATGTTACACATCAAGTTACAATTGTAAAGCATTTCATTTGCGTGTTGGAGATATTCCAAGTATTCCACGAAAAAGTTTAGAGAGGAGTTGAATAATTCTGGGAAACATTTTATCCAATGGACGTTCAATAAACGTATCTCAGATACACAAAGAAAGTGAAGAGTCACGTGTGACATTTCTAATTGGATGATTACCTATCCTGCTGATATATTTGGTATGATTTCAGAGACTTCAAAAGTTTAAGGCCATTTGAAATACTTTAAGTATCTTCAATTTTCTATACATAAACGAACCTGAAAGTAAAGCGTTTTTTTCACACTCTGAGCCCTTTTCTATAGTGATTAAGTTATCGTATAGATTTAGCTTGAGGTTATTAAAAGAGCTTAGGAGACCAATTCAAGCATCCAGTTGGACATTAACACCACCGGATGCCGGCTCAGTGGTTTAGAGGTTAAACATTTGCGCGCGAAACTGATAGGTTCTGGGTTCGAATATCGCGGGGCGGTATCGTGGATGAACACTACTGAGGAGTCCCACGGTAAGACGAAACGACCGTCCAGTGCTTCCAGGTTTTCCCATGGTGATCTAGCTTCAACTGACTGATGAATTCAATTATAAAATAAATTGAGTATTTTTGAAACAAAGTAAATTATGTCACAGTATTATTATTGTGTATTCAAGATAAATAAATACAGCCAGAAGTAATCAGAAGCATAAGTGTTCAAAAAAGTCAGCAAATGATTCTCAATATCAGTAATTGTTTAATCAACTAATAAAACCAAAATTAATAGTACTCTTACTAACAAGGGATAATATGTTTTAAATTAAGTAGGGCATTTAAGTAGTTCGCTGTCTACAGAACCATAATTATAAATGTAGATAAAAGATACTCAATTTATTGGTGGGAGCATAAATACATGGAATGAGTGAATCCACATACTCCTTGTGACGGTTATAGTTAGTTCAGTTATACCAAACTATCTTTTGTCCATGATTAAATAAGATATATATACTAAAGAAAATGCGAACCATTAATTAAATGAGCAAAGATGGATAATGGCTGTCAGTGAAATTGTGTTTGGGACTCGTTGAATGGATGTACCTGCATCCCAGAGTTTACATTCACTCTGAGACTCAAACCCAGTACCGGTCGCTTCAAATGGTATCGCGTTATCCATTTAGTTACTGAGTCCTGATAGCCACCTGCTTGTGCAATGAGGTAAAGTTTCAATTCACTTGGTATTGTTTACTTGAATCTTCGCGTAAATGCTTAGGACTGCAATCGATCAGTCTCTTATTGGCATAAGTAAACCCTGTGCAGATTGTCTCGATATTGCCTTGAGTCACGAGCTTTATAAGCAAAGATGGATAGTGGCTAGCAGTGAATTCTAGGATGCGTGTTTCGTCCTATTAGTTAAATGATGTGTAAATATCATGTAATGGTAAACAATAAACAAATAAATACCCAATTCAATGAACTAATTTTATTTATAGTATGAAAATATATTTGAGACTTCAGAAGAACATGGAAATAAACAAGTACTTTTGAAAAGGTAAAGTTTTCCAATATTAATTAATAGTTAAACAAAGCAGCTTCCTAAAAAATCAGTATGAAAATATATTAGTATGGAGAATTTGCGGAAATTGTGATATTCTCACGCTTGATATCACATACTAATGTTATTTAGACCACTATCGAATACCTAGAGGCACTGGACAGCTGTTTCTCCTAGTATGAGACTCCTCAGCATTGTGCAACCACGACCCCACACACACGGTAATCGAACCCAGGTCATGTACGGGAGCGTTTAAGCTCTAAGTTCGTATCCAACCGTGTTAATACCTATATTCAATCAATTCACGACATTCCGCAACTATCCTCCATGGTCTTCAATGAGTAACTGTTTCACGTCCGACACGGATTAGCTTCAATGTCATGGCTTCGTACTAGAACTCCGGGAACTTTCGAAGCTAGTCACTAGTCATCACATGATAATCAGATATATCACTGGTCCAATCGTCTCTTGATTAACAAAGAACAAAATTATTTTGATTGAATAAAATATTCTACTTTATCAATTTACGTTTCAAGCAAAACTCGAAATAAAACTACATTCAGAATAAAAGTGTAGGGTGGTAGTCTACCGATTCAGTTTAGTTAAGCAACAGTGTCGTCTTTAACGCTATGTGCATAAATTAATATAACGCTATCAAATAATAAGGTTAAATGATGCTATTCAGTTGTTTAAACCGAATCAAATACAGTGGAGTTCGAACTGGTGACTTAGTGGCTGAAATTTGAACGCCTAAACCACTACTCAACCATCGATCGAATTATATCTTACTTACTTACTTACGCCTGTTACTCCCAATGGAGTATAGGCCGCTGACCAGCATTCTCCAACCCACTCTGTCCTGGGCCTTCTTTTCTAGTTCCATCCAATCGTTGTTCATTGTTCTCATGTCTATTTCCATTTCTCGGTGTAATGTGTTCTTTGGTCTTCCTCTTTTCCTTTGACCTTCAGGATTCCATGTGAGGGCTTGTCTTGTGACGCAGTTGGGTGCTTTCCTCAATGTGTGTCTTATCCACTTCCAGCACTTCTTCCTGATTTCTTCCTCCGCTGCGATCTGGTTTGTTTTCTCCCACAGTACGTTGTTGCTAATAGTGTCCGGCCAATGGATCTGAAGTATTTTGCGTAGACAATTGTTAATAAACACCTGTATCTTCTTGATGATGGCTTTCGTAGTTCTCCAGGTTTCTGCCCCATACAGTAGAACTGTCTTGACATTTGTATTGAAAATCCTGACCATGGTGTTGGTTGACAGTTGCTTTGAGTTCCAGATGTTCTTCAGTTGTAAATATGCTGCTCTTGCTTTGCCGATCCGCGCCTTCACATCTGCATCAGATCCAACCTGTTCATCAATGATGCTGCCCAAATACGTAAAGGTTTTTACATTTTCCAAATCTTCTACGTCAATTGTGACTGGATTGGTGCATTCTGTGTTGTATCGGAGAATCCTGCTTTTCCCTGCGTGTATATTGAGACCTACTGCTGCTGCCACACTGTTCGTCTTCTCCTGCATCTGTTGTTGCGTTTGGGATAGAAGGGCCAGATCGTCTGCGAAGTCTAGATCATCCAACTGCATCTTAGATGTCCGTTGTATCCCGCGCTTCCCTTCAGACGTTGACGTCTTCATGATCCAGTCGATCACCAGGAGAAAGAGAAAGGGTGAGAGTAAGCAACCTTGCCTAACACCGGTCTTCACTTCGAATGACTTTGTCAACTGTCCTCCATGCACGATTTTGCAGTGTAATCCATCATATGAGTTCTGTATGATATTGACTATCTTCTGAGGCACGCCGTAGTGTCGAAGAAGCTTCCATAGTGTTGTTCTGTCCACGCTATCAAATGCCTTTTCGTAGTCAATGAAGTTGATGTAGAGTGATGAATTCCATTCAATTGATTGTTCGATCGAATTATATCACTATCCATTAATCTCGCTACGTATGATTGTAATGAATAAGCTAACTGAATATTTAATCAATGTTACCGATTTTAAACAGTAAATATCTTGTAGAGAATGAATAATTAATTTCCAATTATTAATTGTTTTTCTATTACTAGCCCATACCTTTTAAATAATCACTAAGTTACTTAAATGGTAAATGATTCATTTGTATTTCATTGTTAATTTTACTAAGATTTAATTGAATAATCTTTTTTTTTAAATGTTATAATAAGCCACATAGAATACTGACAAAAAGCCTATAGTAACTAGTCGTAACCTAATTAATATGCATACAACCATGGTTACAATGAAAAATAGAAAAAAAATACTGGACAAACTTGAAGAGAAAAAAGAAAGAAAGAAAGAAAGAAAGAAAGAGAAATACCATCTTCCTTGTTCTGTGAACATCTAGTTAAAAGTTTTATTTTAAAAGTCATAAATTTACACTAATTGACTACTCACTGTATATTAACTAATATCATATTGAATTAATCTTTAATCATTAACAAAACGGATTGAACTACTACAAGAAATGGTTATCGCGACTTAAACACTTCCATAGGTGATTTAAATCCCACAATAAATATCGGTTACCCGAATATTGTAGATATGTCTACCTGAAAAACTGCAACTAGAATAAAACCTCAGTTTAGGTTATCCTGTTCATCATTTATAATCAATCCCACCGATAGACACTATTCAAAGTATAATCAATCCGTAGGTATAGTCAATATTGAGGTATCAGTTTAAGAATACATATAGGTCAACAGAAATTGATCAATTAAATGATGTGGTTCTAAATATCACAAACAGTGATAAGTACAGACGTTCACAATTAGTAGCAAACTATGTAAAACTGTCAAGTATTGACTATTCGTAAAATATATATGTATATGGAAAATAAACAACATGAAGACTACGCAACCCAATCACTATCACCAAAATAAGTCAAGAAAAATAGAGAAGTAGAGATAAATTACTAGTTTTTTTACAGCTAACTGGTCATTGAATAGTGACTAATATCATATTCTTTTAGAGTTGACTGAGTTCAATCGATCCTTTTAGAATATGACCAATAGTCTAAATGTTTCGACATCTCCTGCACTATACTGTGATACCAGATAGTTACAGGAAGTAGATATGAAACCTATTTCAGTGATCAATTTATCAGAAACTTATTCAATCAAGTTAAACTCTAGTTGACTACTCAACGAATAAACTGTAAGTAAACAATCCAATGAAACTAAATCTTTTCACAATTCTATTTATCATAAAAAATCGAAATGTTCAGTACATGGATTGTACGTGACTAGCTTGATGTAAAACAAAGAAAAATAAGACTAACCACATTAATCTCCTATACAAAATCATAAGACAAGTTTGTTTGTTTTTTAATCCCATCAAATTGAATTATTGTTCTAGGTCAGTTTTTCAAATTATATGAAACAATAAAAATAACAAACTATGTTCAATGATCAATCTTTATTTAGAGAATGTTCAGTATTGGAATTTGTTTGTTTATTTTGACATTATCAAAATAACAAGAAAAATATATAAATAATGTCATGGACAAAGGTTATAAAAATAAACAGTAATAAGGTTATTCGAAAGAAAAAAAATAGTTCACTGCGAAACACTTAAATATTATTGTCTATACACAGTTACATTACAGATATTCTTCATGTGTCTTCTAGTGCTCACTTCAGAGAAAGCGAACGGGGGAAAATGGGGGAAACAAAAAGAAAAAAATGGCTGACAAACTGACAAAAAAAAAATTAGTTTTCTGAAAAATGATCCATGATTTTTTGAATAATATCTGATTTTTTACTGGCTGATATTTTGAGACCAAGTGATTTGATTGTTTCACGTAATACAGGTATTGTATATTTGTGTAGACTATCTGATTGAACAGCTTCTTTACATTCTATCTCAGATAAACAACATTTTGCTTCTTGATTACAAGTGGATTGTGTAGGACGAGGTTTCTGTGTTTGTAGGAGAAAATAAAATAAATACGATCAATGATATTAGTAACAAGTAACTGTAAACTTAATACAACTTAGTAAGTAAGTTCATGTAGAGACAATCGGTTTTCAGTTCAATTTACTATGTAAGAATACGAGATATTACCTTGGTTTCTCATAACTAAGTAAACGGAGACGGGTTTAAATATGTGACTGAGAATGTTAATAAACTATTATTGGATCACTTCTACACGATACATAAAAAAAATGGTGGTTTGAAGCCCGAAAACAGCAACATTTTTACCAACAATACAAATAAACCTTGCATACATCCTAAACAACACACGGATTATAATAGTGATGGCCTTAAATCATATAAAGTCATCAAATAAAGTATAGCGTATTATCAAAACTGGTTACCAACTAGTACCCCGTAAAGAAATCTAAATAGTTCAGATAGAAAGTAAAAATACTTTTATTGCGCCGTACATAAACGGTGCTATGCATTTAACAATTGATATACCATAAATATCTTTCACAGAAACATAGCCACTACAATAAATACCTAATTTGATAGTTTTGGTCAATTAACTCATTTGCAAACACTGTATATTGTGAATTACCGCAAAATGATTGGCGTTGAAATTATACAATTAGATGCCAAATCAGTAATTCCAATAGTTATGTGTTCACCGTTAGACTTGAAAGTTTTGCATTTAACCACTGGAGAGTCATACTACAACAAAACAGCTAAAAAATGTTCCTTAGTTTCCAACAAATTTGTACTATCCTCACACTAACTAATATTCAAGAATGAATTTGATCTTCTTCACAAACTAATGTTTGTTAATAGATCAACAATAAATGAGATCTTATGAATTCAAGCTAAGTGATTTGGTATTTTAAATAAAAGAACAAATCGGTTACACGTTTATAATAACAAATTATTAACGTATAGTGAATGTTATGTAACTGGAATTGAATTTGAATAATAGCTAATTTGTATATTGATGATTTTCTCACATATTTCAATATTCTAATTAAGTGATGACATAATTTACTGATCTCTTGTAGAATAATTTATGAATATGTATCCTACTGATCAAAAAACGGTCAATTACCTCGAAATGTGTTAATCAATTGTAGAGAGATGTCTTAATTCGGTACTTAACAAGACTGTTAAATAACTATGGTTTACGGTGGCGTGACTTCGTGGATTGGTCGAAACTCGACATTAACACCTTTGGACGCTGGCTCAGTGGTCTAATGGTTAGGCGTTGGCGCGCGAGACTGATAGGTCCTGGGTTCGGATCTCGCGGGGAGCGGGATCGTGGATGTGCACTGCTGAGGAGTACCATACTAGGACGAAACGGCCGTCCAGTGCTTCCGGGTTTTCCATGGTGGTTTAGCTTCAATTGACTTATGATTCCAACTATTGAAATTTCTATTTAAAAAAACCTCCATAAAACCCCTTCTAATAACTATAAAATAAATAATAATCTTTCCAATAAAGTTTCCTTATAAGTATCGTTACCAAGATTTGATTTGATAATTTCGAATAAATTGAGCATTGGGTAGATTGTTATAAATAAATAAATAATATATTTGTAATATCCCAATGAGTAGAAAAATTAGATTTTCTGACGTTTCGTGACTTAGTGTAAGTCACTTCTTCAGAGAATAAATAACCAAATTAAAATTGTTCCGTTAAATGTTTCCTTATGTTGACAAATAACAGTGTATGATTGAAGATTAGCTTTAGCGAAATGCATAAAAACAGTGCAAGTGATTAAATAAATAATTAAATTTTGAGGCTTAATAAAACATTCTAGGACTGTCGAAACGTCATTAAGTAGGACAGGACTCAAATTCATATACCTCCACGTTGACTGGCTAACCAAAAGATATGTTTCTAGATTAATATAACCAAGGTAACTCCTTACAAAACACTCAGTCGTATAAACAGCTTTCAAGTTACACATTTACATACAACTAGTAATATTATTCGCTGTTTAAACCTGCCTGGTCGATGGCCTATCCCTTATGAGAAGTAAGAAGTAAGTAAGTAAGCCCAAGCTGTAATCCACTAAGTGGAAAGTTAAATTCCTTTAAGTAATACGAAGTCAGTGTTTCAAAATTAATGAAACTAAAGGCAAATTAAAGGCTTATTGTTTTGAATGTGATATTCATCATGAATTGACTTCATTTAAAGTGTCATTGAAAACCGGGGAGTACTGGAAAGTCGTTTCGTCCTAGTATGGAACACTTTTCATCAGTAACCAATCCATAACTCCATACATAAATGGAATCCACGACATTCAGGTCTCACAGAGAACGCTTGATCCTTAAAATCACTGGACTGATTAATAATTCAAGTGATATATAATCCCAACTTTGATCAATTTTAATTCTTATTGACTCACAAATGCATTACTACAGAATGCCAAATATAGATTTCTTCTTTACACTTTACTTTACTCACTTTGAATATATTCTCGTTATTTAAATTGAAACATTCTATGAATGCTGCAATTTCTTCACTGGCTCTTCTTTTGATAGCTCCAAATTTAGGTACTAAAATGATGATTTTTTTTGTCAAACAAACAAAAAATCGGATTTTAATGTTTTTATCACCAACAAAAAAATAGAAGAGAAACAACATCGAAATGTTAAAACTGATTCACAAGAAAACAGGAGAAAAAGAGTAAAAGTAGAATAAAGTGATTTATCGAATTTCCTGTTTTTCATAGTTAACATCACAGAATATTAATGGTTAAACAACTATTGAAAAATAAGTATATATGTGAGCAAATTGTTCAGGATGTTTGGCGCAAATACATCACATTTTTCACATTAACTCTTTCTCATCGTTCTATCGAAATTTATAAAAGAGACTAATTGAAAGTATTGAACAGCTGTTTAGTTCTTTAGTAATGTACATCCACAACCGCGTCAACAGGGATTAAATCTAGGACCTCTGGTCATGACCGCCAAATAACTGAAGCAGTATCTAATTTCATAAATTTGTAATATTAGTACCCTCCCCTCTAGCAAATAATTATGTGCTAACCAGTGACTAATTTTGAAATTTTGATGAGAATTTATACCCAGTGATGTTTCACCATGTCGATTGTGGGCCAGTTACCCATCAAGTATATTGGAAAATGATTGCTTGATACTATGAATTGAGGCAATTAACAGTATGAGTTTGTGAAGATTGTTGAGTTTCAATCAAATCATCAACCGGTCAATGTTAGGCCATCAAGCAAAAAATAAGTTATAGATATGTGATGAATAGAGTAAGCAATTAACACACGTATGATCATATAAAAACAGTCAGGGCTAATAAGCAAATAACCTACAAGGTCAAAATGTGGCTTGAGATGAATGAATAAATTATCTGTCCAGAAGCTAGAATAATTTATGTGGGCTTGACATAGTAACAGCCACTACGGTCCCATACTACGACGAAAAGGCCGTCCAGATTATTCAGGTTTTCAATGATGTCCTAACAATGGTCGGTTCATGATTTCAATGAAATTAATGCGATTGATAGATCCAAATCGTTAGAACCCAATTCAGTGATCTAGGAGTTGAGAATTCGCATGAGATCAGAAGTCAAAGGTTTAATCCCTGGTGCGACGACCGTGTATATGCACTGCTGTGGAACCCCATATCAGGACGACACAAACTCTCAATGCTCCCAGGTTTTCAATAGTTGTATAACATTTGGTGTCGCTTCCAAAGGGGGACAGGGGATAATATTGAGGGGCCGGGAGAGAAAGCGCTGGTTGAGACAGTCTAGTGCTAGGTGACGTCGAGTAGAGTGTTCTGACGGGGCGGTGTTGGTTGTAGCAATCGCTGTCGATGGAGGAGAGTAGTGGGACGTGTGGCTGCTGGGGAGACATCGTATGTAGATGGTTCGGCAGGTTGCAATATTTACAGTTGACTGACCACTGAGTAGTGAGCAATGTCAAACTTGTGTAGTCTTTAACGGCTGTTAGTGTTGAACAATGTAAAACAACAAAAACTTTCAATAACCTACATGTATGATCAACAACTTCCGATTGAGTTTCACGATTAAGAGCTAATGCTTCAAGAAGTGAATAAAACCGTTGTAATGTTGGATTTTCAATTTGTCCAGGAGTAAATGGTACCATAAGTTTACGTATCATGGCCTTAGCAATATCCACTTGAGATTCGTTAGCTAAAAAAATTATTGACAAAAATCCCAGAGTAGTTAAACTGTCAACACTATCAATCGTAATAGAACACATTAGATATGAAATTATGATTGAAGAAGAATAAATGAATTAGAAGGATAGAAAGTATAAGATGATTTTCATACTCAAGATCTAGGTGATCTAGGTACTGATCCCTCAATGATGTGTCTATCAATAAAGATAATGCCTTGATTCACACAACTTAGCTGTCGATTGACTATAAAATTTAAATCCAGATAAATTATTATGAAACGATGTATCTTGGTACATTTTTCTTCGGATTAAAATATAGTTCTTTTTCACTGCTCATATTCTACAGACTGTGATTTCTTGTAGAATTTTTTAGATTCAATCAAACAACACAGTCTTGGAAATGTTCCCCTGAAAAAATACCACGAAAGCAGTACTACAAAATCTGTATCAGCAGAGAAGGGTCTAGACCTAAGACGTACCGGCTGAAAACCCTTTTCCTATGACTAGTACATAAGTCTGAAATTAACTTAGTGAATTGCACTATTTATCATTAATTAATCAGTTATGCAAAATGAACCGAATTTAGAATTCCATAATTAAAACAAATAATAATGATAATAATCGTACCTATTTCATTCGTTGGAATTTCAATATCACGAAAATCATCAGCGTAAGGTAAAAATATAATATGAAATCCCGGTGGTATTGTTTGAGTTCTATTAGCACTGTCACCGTCATCATCATCATCGTTTATCTGTTCGGCCTAGATAAATAAAGTGGACAGGAATCATTTAATATGTCAGTTGAATATTATGTATGAAATTTATCATGGCCCGATATAAACTGGAGACAAAGTGACAACCAAAAAGCACTAAATAGTTGTTTAGGAATTCACCAACAGTGTCTAATGACAATGCTCCTTCTCTCAAGTGGGAACGGAACTAGAAACTTCAAACTTTATACCTTAATATCACTTGGACAAGATACAACAGTAGATATCTGGTGTCTCTTGTACCAATGTTTATGTATTAAAATAAATAAATAGATAACCAAAGTAGTTTTAATGAATCCGAAACCCAAATGATCACACACATTTTATGAATAAAAACGTTTGGTAAATATATTTTTCACATAATCATTAAAAATGATTGGAAAGAGGAATAATATACGCATGTTAGTATGATTTTTAAGAACAGGTTCCCAAGTTCATACATTATTTACTACTGTTAACTTTAGTTTAAGAGTCTCGTCAGTATCGCTAAACGTAACAAATTGTTTTTAAAATGATTAGTAGTTCTTCGGTCCATGTAAATTAATTAGGATTTTCATATGAAGTACCTGTAGGTATTGCATGTGCTTTATACCTTCTATGTGCAAAGTACTTTTAAAAGACTGGTAGGACTCTGCGTCTGAACTGACCCTTGGTAATGAATAGGTAGAAGTAGTTAAGAAATTCGTATACCTAGGTAGTTGTATAGCTCATGGAGGTAATGTGAGTGATGTGATCAATTCACGTATGTTGAAAGTAAGATAGGCTTATGCCAACCTGTGTTATCTTTGGCATATTCATAATGTTAATCTGTTTGACTGCCATGTCAAATCATTTAGACCTTGAAACTTATTGGTTATTAGAATTCGATCGATACTAAAGGATTAGACACACATCACATTAAGCATAGAACAAACAAAAATCACATTGCTACATCTATATTCCAATATTGAAACAAAAAGCCGACAATTTGAATAGTTTCTTTGAACTAAGAATGTAAAGTATTTTGTTTTTACGACGAAAAAAAGATTTAACATTAGATGGAACTCATCATAAATTATAGGAAATAGGCTGAAAACACAATCGAATCCTGAGTCGCCACTAATGTATGCGACCCCGAAAATCCTTTTAATGTTTCGTTTCCGGGTTTTGATTTCATATAGCCTAACAAACAGTGGATGAAAGTGAAGACCAAGTAACGTTCTTAATGCGTCATATTGATTGCCATGTGAAATATTGGGCTTATACTTCTGAGGAATTCAAAAGAGCAGAAAAAATAACTGACTAGTACTTTCCAGCTTTTGATACCTCATCAGTTGAAACTAGTCCATTATGACAACAGTCTCCCACCTTAACAAGTAATTATGGTATAGGTATACAATAAACTTTACATTTCTTTGGAACAAGAAGATAAACAACAATATAAATCAAAAACTAAAACTGAATAGAATACCTGAGGAAGTAGTGCAACAAGACGAGGAAATTGACCTTTACGTTGAACATATATAGCTATGGCTAATAATTTTCGATGTAAACATCGATTTAATAAAGCGGTAAACCATAAACGACTCCCATGAATTGATTTTTCATCAGGATAAATAAAATGTGCTGGACGAATGTAATAATATCGTTTTAAAAACTTCTGTGATATAAAACCTATTAGGTGTAAACCTAAAAGAAATGAAAATACGAGATGAATAGAAAGAAAATTATTTATAGTTGAAACCTACTTTGCTAGAATAATGGTTTGACTGTTAAAAAACACACTATACATTCATAACCACTGAGTTAATTGATTGAAATCAGGTTTCATCAATTTCACTTTAGGCAACTGGATTGTGAAACTGAATGACTCGAGTTCTAATCTCGTATGGGTCACCATTTCTCTCCAAGATTACAAGTGCAGATAGCTTTTAGTATAGAAACTAATATCTCTACTTTGTATTATGTAATTATTAAGTGACTGGTATTGTAGTGAACAAGAACACCAGTGAGGACAATCGAATGTATTTAACACAAAATTACAGGACTTGTTAATGTAATCTAAAAATCATAAAGTAAATGCTTAATTTGCAAAATGTCCATCAATTGTCTCAAAATGACTCAGACTTCATCGCTCTTGCATTTTCACACTAATTGCATTCTGTTTCCATTCTTTACTATTCGATCCTCTAGTCTCTCTGCTGCCAGACTTTCTGTTCACGACTAACATCATATACTACTTATGTCAATATAAGTAGCATACACTACAGTATATGGAATGCATATATTGTCTTAATTATAAGCTTTTAATCAACGTATTAACTTTTGATACATGCCTTATCGTTAATTAATTATGCGAACACCGTCCAGTTTTTGTATCATGTATGACTCCAAGTTATGTAAAAAAAAATTTTGATTTATTTGAAGTGGATTGAGATCATGTAATTGATGTACATAATCCTATAAGTTTTTAAAGCTGTATAAATGGTAAGCATACAGACTTGCTGTCTTAGTCTTCTGACTAGTTATATGAGGTAAAAAGGGATTGCGTTTAGTCGAAAGGAATCAGGGTATTCAGTCGTTGTGTGTTCTCGGTTGTTATTGGTTAAAAAGGTCATTGGTCAAATTAAAGAAACTTGGTCAATAGCTTGACCCACATAGCCAAAATTATCTGTTGAAGAGGAATCAAGATTTATTTGTGATTCATTAAGTGAATGCGGATACCTATCAAAACTTCTGAAGAAATATAAGTCTAAAACTAAGTTTGAATTAAAATTACCGACGGTACCAAAAAAGCCTTTATTCATAAAATTGCATTACAAAGGTTATAATGCTAGCAAAATAATAATTCGATGTATAAGAAAAGACGTCAAAAATACACTTGATGCAGCAAGACTATGTTCATTTTTCTTTAACCGGCGAATAGTGAGCTGACAAAATAAAGATAACTTGCCTAGTTCCCCCACCTCTATGTGCAACTACCATTTCAACTGCTGTTGCGGAGCCAATTATATTGGCCAAAATATATCATCGGATTTCTGAATACCACTACTCATGACTGACCAAGAATGATAAAAAAATAATAAAAAGCTTCAGTTTAGGACATTCGATTGATACCAGTCATTATGTCGATTTCAAAACAACTTTTGAAATTTTCTATAGAATCCCCTAGCACTTTTCGTATGCTTACAGAATTAGGCTTTAACCGGGTTGGTGGATATAGAGGATCCACATGAGACAGTCAGAAATCCCTGACTCCAAACCAATGGTGCATGTGGGTTTCAGAATCTTGAGTGGACAAATGGCGTACGGACCTATCATTTGTGACCGGCTACCATGAGACCACATCTCCTAACAGTGTTACATTGTCTTGTAGTTTAGACCTCTGGGTCAAAGGTTCGAGGAGTGGTCTACTAATCAAACCACCTACTTTGGTTTGGGCACCTGGGCAGCATTCTAGCCCATAGACAGACTCAATAGTCTATGTGGTGCATATATATTTTAATGACCTTCGATACCAATATTTATGTGTTTATATAAATAAATGAATCTCAATTATTCCTGATTAATTTCCCAACATCTTGACAATTCCATTTCTAATCTACGATTAAGAGTAATACACATTTGTACATCTGTGTATCTTTGAATTCTTTTTACCATGTCCTACAAGTCATTAATAAACGTGGCATAAACTGAATGAAACAGTCGAGAATAAATTTTTTTTTAAAAACAAAACAACTCTTTTCCCTGAACCCCTCTATATCTTACATACACACATATTTTCTTGTTTTACGTCTCAATGAGCGTTTTCCGGTTACATAAATTAGAACATTGAAACTTAATCATATCTGTCAGTTAAACAATAATAATAATGATAATAATAGTAATAATAATAATAATAATAATAATATTCCTTTATAAACACTTTGAACATTTTACTTTATCCTTGTCAAAGACTATTTCTAAGGTTCAACAATGACTATCAAAAACATAGTTTAGTTGTTATCAAGTTACAATCTATATATATGATAGAATTTAATTGGATTAAAATATAAGTTGTTTAAATCATATTCCATTTCTGTTCCATTCCAAAATTGAATATTACCCTTTATTTGTGAATAATAAGAATGAAATGACAATTGAATGTAAACAAAATGTTGCTGTTGTTTTGTTTTTTCATATATACCCACTCTTAAATATGAAATATAGACGTTCCGAAGAAGAGTAATTCATGTTAATGGAACATTCCTATCAGAACAATGAAAATGTCATTATAAGCAAAGATGGATAGTGGCTAGCAGTGGAATCCAAGACGCGCGTTTCGTCCCGTTTGGGACTCGTCAGCTGGATGTACCTGCATCTCAGAGTTGATGTCCACTCTGGGACTCGGACTCAGCACCGTTCGCTTCAAACGCCATCGCGTTATCCACTTAGCTACTGAGTCCTGATAGCCACTTGCGTCCTGGATTCCACTGCTAGCCACTATCCATATTTGTTTATAGTGCTTGTAAATTAAGGCAATATCGAGGCATACGCACAGTATGCACATATGCCAATAACAGACTGATCAATTTCAGTCTTAAAACATCAATGGGAAGATTCAAGTAAAACAATATCAAGCGAACGAAAATGTCAGTTGAAAAAGAGGGGATTTAAGAAAGTACTCCGGTAAGTGAGTTTAAAAAAAAAAGATTGACTCCTTAGTAAATTAGAAAATTCAGAAGATAACAAGTGAGGAGTCATGAAAGAAACATTTGATATCTAACGACTAGTTTTGTACAAAAACTGAAACTTCATTAAACTCTATAACACGAAATATGAAGTTCATTGTAGTTTTTACAATGAAATGATCATATTGAAAAAAAATTTACATGTATAATCCTTTTTACATTATTAATAACTCACTTACACGGCACGAATTTGTGTACGTGGGTATGAGCCGCACTCTGAGTGTGAAAGCTAATGAAGCTGTTTGGTAGGCTAAACTGAAATAGGATGACAGAGATTTGAACTGGGTACTTAGTCAGTGAAGTCAAAAACCTTAAACACCATCGACTCATCGTGATATGACAAACCACATCCTCAACAGGTTAAATCTGGATAAAGAACACCCTAACTCGAACTTCCAACTAGATTACTTAGTTGATACAGTCAGTCTGGGACGACAAGATCAACGCAGAAGAAGTAATAGCCAGACCCCAAGATGATCATCAAGAAAACGACATTTTCTTCAGCGCCTTCAGTTGAATCCAAGGAGCAAGACTTATTTTCCAGGAGGGAAAGACGATGTGTCAAGCCGATGAGAAGTAGCCTAATGAGATGGTCAGTCGATGGCAATAAGTAGTGACTTGAAAGAAAAGTGCATTTCATTGACTAAACGCGTAGCACATCGTGTATCAGTACTCGATTTCGGACACTGCCCGTCACACTACACCGCTCTACTTAACTCCTTTTAATAAACTATGAATCATAATCTAAACACTGAAATGGACACTGATTATCACCAATGTTATTATGTATAAACATACACCCCACGGGTTTAATTAAGTGCTTAGAGTGGGAAGTAAACCTAATAATATGATTGCATTACTAACTAATAAATGGAAGTGGGATTTAAAGAGAATTCTCAAATTATTACAATGATTTCGTGTAAAGCAAAAGCATTAGTGACCCAAAACAACATCCTAAATGTAATTGTCGTGAGGTTAACATCAAGGTCAAACGAAATAACATGAATGATCATTAATCGGCGAATACAATAATTTGATTTTTCAATATGTTAAAATAGCTGACCAGAACTAACCAGATGATCTTAAAGCTAATGTACAATACAAAATGATCTAGATGAGATAAACTATTGTAAAACAAGGAGGATTGGATAACAGTTTCGTCATAGCATAAGACTCCTTCTCAGTGGTGCACACACACATAAGGTCCAAAAAGATATCGGAATCAGGATTTCTAAGATTCGCAACAAGCTCATTACAATTTAGACGACTGAAATGCGAACCAACAGTTTATATTCCCAGTTTCAGCCAATTTATGATATCGTACAACGGTCATTCAATAACACCGGTGATATATGTTTCACAACCAACATAGTTGAACTCCAAAGACCTTGAATTCATACTATAAATTAGGGAATTATTCCCGTAGTTAATCACTAACACAAACATATTATCACCACCATTAGTATTGGAAGCTTGTGTAAATTATTTAGGCTGAAAATAATTTACACCCAATACATAAGTCTAAAGGTAATGCCCTTGATATCTGAAAGTTCTATGTCCGACAAGTGTTTAGGCTGCAAGTGTGCGCCTTCGATGAGCACCTCAAAATCACTAACATCAAGTAATCTTTGATTTACAACAGTTGTCCAAAGTTAAAATCTGTTAATGATGTAAACTGTCTTTAAAATGAACAATCTGCATAAACTTATCATTTTTAACGATTAGACCATTATTATTCTTATTTTTACAATCCTGGCATAAAAAAGTAAGTAAATTCAATAAACCGCAAGCAAAAAGGAAAGAAATTGACCACTGATATGTATGTGGTGTGGCTCAATATAACCAAAAGCATTGGACAATGACAATCGAATAGTCTGAATGACTGGAAATAATTAATGTGATTGAGAAAGAAAGATTGATAACAAAATTTTCATTGGTCATATTAATAATAAACAAATACAACAAACATGAGTCAGTGTCTGTTCTTAATATCTGGAAAATATGAAGTGTATAAAAGAAGATTGAAACTAATAAAAACTATACTTGTAAGTTAAATTCATAACACATTGATCTCATTGGGCGTATCACTGGAGTCCAGAGAGCATTGGACAGCTATTTCGTCCTACTATGAGGTTTCTCAACAATATACGCACACAATCCAATTAGAAATCGAACCCAGGACTATCAGATCTTTCAACGAAAACGCAACCAGTAGAACCACTGAGTAGGTGCTCAATCGTACACATTTTCAACTTCAATAAATTTACGAAATAACGTGACGGTTATCTAATGTCATTGGTGACAACTATTTCATGCCCAATATACTTGGACTGCACCAGTCACAGATGCACACGACAACATGAAAAATATCATAGAGTAAGTTACTACTACGAGCTAACTATCATAGTTTATCAGTATAGGGTTGTGAAGACAGTTGAGCTTCATTGAAATAATGAACCGATCTAACTTAAACCACCATTGAAAACCTGGAAGCACTGAACGGCTGTTTCGTTTCAGTACGTGACTTAGCAGTGCACATCCACGACCCTGCAAGCGGAAACCAAACTCAGAACCCTTAGTGCTTCAAGGTTTTAAATATTACCTAAATTAATAACAACTCACGACGAATACAACCTACGAATTGAAAAAAAAATTTAAAAAATACCTTCGAAAACATTAATATCTCCAAAATAAATTATCAGATTTACAAGAGTATAGACAATAAGATGAATATTGTAGTGAACGAGAATACAAGTGGAGACAATCGAATGTATTTCAACACAAAATCACAGAACATTTTAGTAAAATCTGAGAATCACACAGTAAATACTCAATTTGTAAAATGTCAATCAATTGTCTCAGACTTCATTGTTCCTTCATTTCCACAAAAGTCATTCTCTGTTCTCCTTCTCTTTTCTTCCATCTTCTTAACCTTCTGCCTCCAGGCATTTCCCTTCGATTGATGACACATGCTATTTATATCTGTCGACATCAGTAGCACACACTACAGTATTGTGTTTATACATTAATGTAGGTTATAACGACAATTGCATACAAATTAAATAGTAATAATAATAAACTGTATGAAACAATACTTACCGACAGGAGCAATATTACGCACAGCTTCAGTCAATTCATCTTTATCAAAGCATATATAACGACCATCAAGTTTTATGCCACGTACTAAATCATGGGATGGTAATAAATCTTTAACTGGATCAAAAGATCCATATGGATCTATAATTTTATAATAATCTCTATGAACACGCACAGTTTTATTATCTGAAGATGAAAGCCATATTGGAGAGGGGATACGTGTTGGATAAACTAAACAATATACTGAAATACCTAAAGTGAGATTTTTCGATGATCCAAGATGAAAAGGTAAACGAGCTAAACGTGATCGACGTAATTCATGTGAGTTAATACTAGAATAAGCAAATAGGATAAAAAAAATTAATGAAATGATTAGATTACTTTTAGAATAACTCATTCAAAAGGGGATCATTTCATAGATATAAAGAAAACGTTATTGTATAAAAGGTTTTATGGAATGTTCTAGATTGTTATGTGCATTTATATATTTTACAAATAAAACGAAATTACTAAAATGTAAATAAATCGAGAAAAATTCCGAAATTTAACCAGTCTATGGTCATTTAATACGTAAATAGGTAGACCTTGTTGATTGTTTGTTCAGAAATAATTGGTTTCCATATGGAAATTCATGAATAGTGAAATTTAATTATTTAGAAATGTAGACAGATATCACTGATGAAACTAACTGTAATATCGTGCTACATTATGAACTGACTAAATTCAGGAAATGAAACCACCTGATTTCAATTCATACCTAGAATTGAAAGTTTAAAAAAACGATTATTTTTTTCAGGGTTTTGACTTTTTATCAATAACAAGTATCAAATACTTGAATGGAACAATTATCCAATACTCTGGCTTTAAATGGTTCTCTAAATGACAGAAGTAAATGATAAAATCTTCCATCAAACTAAATAAATAATCAACCAAAATCTTAGGATACTTGGTATGTGGTTTGAAGTGGAGTCCAAGATGAGCATTTCTTCCTATTTACAACTAGTCAGATGGATGTACCTGCATCTTAGTATTGATGTTCATATTGGTGCTCGGACCCAGTACAACGCGTTATCCACTGAGTTACTAAATCCATATAGTCAGAAAATAGCCCGACAGCTATGAAGATATTAATAAGGGTTTATATTTTCCCGTTGACATGTCTTGTCGATTTTTTCCAAAATCCCCGTCGCCAATTGTTATGTTTTGTTGTTTGAATGCTAACTGTCTTGACTTTTTTTATCCCATCCCCGTCGCCACTGATATTTCTTGTCAATTTTTTCTAAAATCCCATCCCTCGTCAGTTAAATGCTATTTGTTTTATATGGTCGTCGCTGATTGTTATGTCGGAAACTCTTATCACTTATAGTCGAAACGAGGGACCTCTGCAATTCCCACGATGCGAAAGTAAAAACACAAAGACTGGTATAAGTGGAGAATTATTGACCGCAAAAAACGGAGACGACGACGATCATAGTCAAAAATAAACTCGTTCATATATTGGTTGTACACCCATTTTTCATTAACAATTAGGATTAGATCATATATATGAAAAATACTTAGTTATAACAAACCACAGACTGAGTATAGTTCATGTCAATCGAATACAAGAATATCGCATATTATACAGAATAAAATATCACACGAGGAAAGAAAACAAACACTACATTGAGTAATCAGTACATTGAATCAAAACGGAAGTATTCTTGAACAAAACTCATAATGAGTAAATCAATCGAATTTTGACTTTCCATCATATCACCCGTAGTTAATGTTAAGGATTGCAATTAATCAGTCTCTATTGCTATATATATATATATATATATATATATATATATATATATATATATATATATATATATGTATCCTAACCGGATTGACTTGATATTGCTAATAGTTATTTCGAGGTTAAAATAGACATCACCAACTGAACAATCACTAGATATTTAAAAGTACTAAACAGACATTGATCTCGATTAAAAATCTTCTAGTCATTACTTCATTCAATGAAAATGAATGTTCAAATTTTTTGTAAGCATGCTGTCCTGTCCACCATTTGCTATCAATCCAATAATCAATGCTTACTAGTACTCATGAGTCTGAAGAACAGAAACTGATCTTCGTCAAAACGTTGTATAAATTATAAGGATATAATACCACTATTCAGTAATTAAGTGAATACTTGTATACTTCAATCTTAAGCTATAATTTTGAAGTGATAGCAATTTACTGTTCAAATACTAATTAGTAAAGTAGTATTTTTGAACCAAATCGTTAAAAAAAGAGTGGGGTGTTTATAATTACTGAACTATTATTTCACTCCATCGTCAATAATTTATTTACTACTGTGGTGTGCACTACTTATGCGGATAGACTCAAGTAGTATGTAGCAGGAATTGAAAGTGGGATGCTTACCAACAGAAGATTGAAATAAAGAGAAGTGAAAGGAAACAGAGAGCAATCGGAATAACAACAGAACTAGAAGAATGATGGAGTATATAAAGGAAATCTCAAGGAAGATATGTAGATGATGTACTTAATATATGATTTTCATATTCTACAAAAGCACTATGCAATTTTGCATGAAATGATAAATTGGCTTTCCCCATCAAGTCTCTTTTCACTACTAGATTACACTTTTTACAGGTTCAGATTTATGAGACCTTTTTTAAATCTAACCTATAATAAAGTACTTATATTGATTACTGATGGCATTATTTATGTTAGTGGTCCTAGTGACTGAATACCAAATCACAAACTCATAATAGTTGAAAAATAATTAAAGACACCTCGGATAACTGTTTCGATACTGAAAATTATTGAAATCTTGTATAGTCAGATCCAATGGTGATCATTCCCTCCCTAACAAAAAAAACAAGCAATCATAATTCGTGAATAAATCTACACAGATTTTATAATTCCAATCAGTATTAAACTGAAATATAATAAACAAATGTTTCTATTACCTCTTCTAATACATTTGTTAAAAGAACCTTTAGACAAATCAATAATACAGTCATTGAAAGTATCGAAATATCAAATTACCGGCTTAATAATTCATCAAGACGTTCAGTTGGATCAGGATGATAAGAAGATTTGTCTAGATCAGGATACATTAATTCATCTTCTAGTAACTCCTAATAAAAAAGAATATATGGAAAAACTTAATCAATTCATCAACTATATCCGAATATATTTAGGTACGAAGTTGGAATTTATTATTAAATCTACTTATTAAGAGAAATCAATCACAGTTATGTTGGGGTATAAATAAAACAAGGATTAAACAATTAAATGTAAAACTGAATATCAAATGATCAATCTGATGAAGTAAAACATTAAAAATTAAACATAAGAGAATCAACAACTTTATGAATAGAATTTGTTGAATAGAAAAGTATATATGGTGGTGATTGAGGGTGAACAGTAGGGAACCCTGAACTTAGGTTTCGTGCTTTTTGACACACATTAGCAAGGTATACTTGTAATAACAGGTGTTCTTTGGAGGAGTTGGTCCCCTGTCATCCAGCTTCACAGTCAGATAAGTTACAAATGATGTGTCTGGGCAAAGACTAACCTCCTGTAGAATCAAGATACATTTACAAGTGATTGATTCCAAACCAGTGTCATGTATCTAAAATCATTCTTAGGGCCGATTGAATTCTATTGATTAAGTTAAAATGTGGCTACTAGCCTTATCGACTTGACAATTTGTGCAAATTACGTTTAAGAATAGATACATCGTAGAATAGAGTGAATGGGACACGACTTACATGCTATACCAAGCTAATGTTATAGATGTTTGAAGATAATTAGTAAGAAACCTTATAGATCTGGATTTTTTTACTTTTTAATGTTCACCAGTCAAATGGGTCCAAAATTTGCTAACGGTGATAATTACGGAAGCAGTGTTGGCTGACTTTTCAAATAATAACAATTGGAGAACCACGTAAGTAAATGTGATAATTATAAAACTATATGTGCATATAATACTTTACAACATGGGATTATTATCGGAACACTAAACAAAGCTTTGAAGAATTTCTTTGACAAGCATTAAAAAGCATTTCTTGGACGTTGGCAACAGAGACTATTTATTCAATCAAAATTAAAAAATTGAACCAATTCTGAGTCTATAGCCTAATGGTTGAATGAACGTTAGACGAATATATTATCGACTAAAAGTTTCTTAAGACTTACTATTAATATGAATTAATGTGATTTGATATAATACAAGGTTATCAGTGATTCCCTAATAACTGAAGCAAATTCGTGACGAATACCACTTATATATAAAATGAATCTCCACAAAACCTATATATATTGCATTAGATTGTAAATTATATTTATGAAATGCCGAATCGTATATAACTAGACGTTGATACAATAAACTGCACACCCACTTAAAATACGAGGCTTTCTACTTAATCTTGGATTAGTAAACGAGTAACAAGGTGAGATCTTTACTGCTTAAATAAATATGTTCGGTCATAGTATACTACACTAACGACATTGAGAAACTTACCAGTCAATAAGGAAAGTCTTCACAGATATAAAACAACTAACAATGAAAACTAGTAAAATAACAACTTTGATATGAGTAATTAACCCTCATATGCCAAATTATTCCTGATAGTAAGAGAAAAAACTCACGTTTACATATTAGAAGTCAAGATAGTATTCTGAGTTAGGGTTAACACCCCATGGAGTTATTATCAGCACATGAGATCGGTTATAAGTTAAAAAGGTTAAGAAAAGGTATTAAGAGTAAGGCTGAAGTTCTGAGTTGGGTTTACAAATTAGGGTTGAAGTTTTCATTACGATCTAGCTTCACTAAACACTCCTGACTACTCATTGAATCACATTAACCACATTAACACACTATTTGCCTTAGGAGCAGGTATGTTATGTCATTTAATGTAAACAATCAACTTAAATTTATATTTTGCTTGAGTAATAGATATTTCTATTGATTCCGCGAATTTTAAGAATCAATTATTGTCAATTTTCATCTAGTTTACAATAACATACAACTTATCTATCACTACACCTTAAATTCAGCGCACAGTTATCTTAATTCTGATTGGTCGACTCAAGGCCGTCAGTATATTATACTTTTACCACATTATACACGGTATAATTATTCGATAAATGTGGAGATTTCTTTCTCTTTTTTTAATATACCTAGAAAGTTGAAAAACTCATAGTCTAAGATATTTTCTAAATATATCACCTGACAACTAAATTATAAAATAGCGAAAGAAATCCATTACATCATTCATTAAAATGAAGAAGTTTTAACGATGAAAAATTATTTTATCGACAATGTCATCATTTGCTTAATAAGTTGTATGATAGTATTTACAGTTAATCTCATACATCTTATTGTCTATAATCAAATAAATGAATGTTGGTTGAGTCATTAAACAAAGTTAATCAACTGTTTTTTTTCAAGTATAAAATATAATATAGTAAAATAGTTGAGATCATAAGTCATTTGAAGCTCAGTGGTCTAGTGGTTAAGCATTCGTGCGCGAGACTGATAGGTTCTGGGTTCAAATCTCGCCAGGCGGGATCATGGATGCACACTGCTGAGGAGTCTCGCGATTATTATTATTATATTATTATTATTATCAGCTTTATTCAATATTATATTTTTGGTACAATATACAATTCTCAGCGCAAAGTATTTCAACAAGTTTCCGTTTCTTTCTTCTTGGTCGGTCCTGAAGATAAATACTGAGTGATCGCCAGCTAGATGTTAGGAGTTCAGTAAATGAACATCTGAATAATGTGCATTCTTTTCGCTGTATATTGCCAGCAACCACATTGGTTCTTATTGAGTTTTTTGTAACTTTGACAACGAAAGGTTGTACACTTTTCAGAAACGCAGCAGAATACATCATGCGATTAATAAACATATTGATATATTAAAACAAACAAAAATAGATAACTTGTTGAAATATCTGGATGGCAGGAACAGGTAGCCCAGATGCTCAAGCAGGCCGCCCTTGTAGGACGAAACGGTCGTCCAATGCTTCCAGGTTTTCCATGGTGGTCTAGCTCCAATTGACTCATGATCTCAACTATTAAAAACTACTATAATATCCACAAAAACCCCTTCTGATAATAAGTAAAAAACAAAAAATAAGACATTATGAAATAAAGTAATGAAAACCTTTCATGTGATTGATTCCCACTGTTAATTTGAATAAGGCCAAAATAAAAATTGAGATAGAATGACATGAATTCATCATATATTTCATGCTCCGTCATCAGCTCCTTATATTCATATACGTATTAAAGTGTAACATTGAGGTAAGATATAATGTGAAACAATTGGCATTGATGATGGAAAGAATCACAATAAAGAAGTTTATCAATAATAAATATAATTACATCTATGCATGAACAGGTTTGAGATCATTTGGAAATGGAATTCAAAAAAAACATAGAGGAGGTTGTTGATATAAGTTTAGATAAATGAGTGAGTGAAATAAAACAATGAACGAAAGGATGGTTTAGAGTACAATAAAAATTATCCAAGTTTTTCGGGTTACGTAATAAGAAATAATAATTTATAAAAGAAATGTAAAAGGACAACTGTCAATTTTGATAAAGTAGAAGCTGGGGGATTCGCAAAATCAGAAGGGATGCTAAAATTATGGTAGAATTAAGGGTTAAACATGACAATGTCGTATGTAGAGACCAGGTTTGAATTGATGAATCGAGATAGATTCATTTGGATACAAATTCGTGATTCAAACCTTCATTGAGACAGTCAGTTAATTCTTTGAAATAATCCTGAACGACGACCCTTACGAGAAAAAATACACACATGAAACGTTTCGGCTCAACGCTTAGGAAATACAACTGTATATATTATATCGTACTATACTTCTATATAAAGAAAGCCCAGAACATAGTTGGATGAAGATCCCAAGTAGGTGGCCTATACCTCACAAGTAGTAACAAATGTAAGTAATTAACTGCCATACAAAGACATCAAGTGGAAGAATAAAAACCAATCAGCCGAGATTTTGAAGATCTGGTCAACTAATTTAATAAAACTACACGTAGAATTCACTGGGACATAAATAATCAAGAATGCAAAACCAATAAAGAAAACATACTTCATTCAGTAAATATGGAGAGTAAATATTAAAATATAATGGAATCCTTTAATTCTATCGATTTTTCACATCAAATTTTCACAGTTTGAATCATGAACTGATCTTCACTAAACAACCATTGAAAACTTGGAAGCAATGAACAGCTGTTACGTCCTAGTGTAGGACTTCCCAGCAGTGTGAATTCTCTACGTCTAGACTACTGAGCCAACAGCCAATGGTATACACGGTTGGCTTTAATCAATTGATTGATATTGAACGATCATGTTCGATTGCCTGCGGTGCGTAACTGCCTTATGCCCAACATGCTTGAACTCCATTGATCAAGAATTCTCACTAGAACTCCAGGACTTCCAACTTGAAGATGGTCACTAGTGAGCACTTGAGTAACTAACGAAATCATGAATATGTATTGCTGAGTTTCATACTAAGAGGGAATAGCTATCCAGTCCTTTCCTTTTTTTCAACAGTCATCTAACTTAACATGGTACGTAAACTACAAAACAACTATATAAATTAAAGTACAACTACAATACTTTATAGATGATTATTGGCTTGTATTAATTAATTAATCCATATAGCATTATGAACTGTATGTTATAGTGCATCAAACTAAGCGACATTCATTAACCATTGTGTAGTACATATTGACGACCAAATGATCCATTTATACAAGAAGTTATCATGATTATAAAAATAATAAGGAATATAGTAGACACAAAGAAATGTACAAAGAAGACAATTTATCTTTTGTACTTACATCATAAAATAATTCATAATCAAATTTTGTATTTTGTTGTTTAATCGGAATAACTTCAAGTTCAATTCCATATTGTTTCATATCGGCCATCTTAGCAATTGCTCTACGCTATAATTAATGAACAATAATGAAGAACAAAAATGAAATTAGTGAGGATCTAATGGGGAAAATGGCTTATTTTAAACAAAAATGAATTCATATACTATGTTAGTTACAGATTAATCTCAATTACGGTGGTATTGATAAACAGAATTGATTGGACAACTGTTAAGTCTTAGTATAAGTCTTCACAGTTGTGCAGACGACCCAACCAGGAAATGAATCATAAGGTTTTGCGATAAACTTTTAACAATTAGAATCGTTGAATCGGTGTCCATTGTGAAACATTTCCAATTTCAATCGATTTCCAGTAAAAAGCAAACATCGTACAATTTTTCAATGATGACAATGGTTTCATCCTAGACACATCTGAACTCCATTCAAACTTCAGGGACATCGTGAAATAAGTCGATGATGGGCTGACTATCATAGTTTAGTCGAACGGGTGGTTAGTGATTGGAAATGATACTCGAACTGAAATCAGCATGTGACAAATACAATCTACAAAACGGATCGAACGTCATAGAAGCCCTTCAATTATAAATAGACTCAATAATTTTCCTAAGAAAAGGTAAACGCTTAGTCTCCTTAAAGAACATAAAGTTGATCTAAAAACAGTTGGAAATTTTCTGCTTAAAATGAAAAAGCATTCAATTATATATTTATTCTACGAATAACACTGATTGGTGTAAGAACTGTTTCTATTAATCTCATCAATACAGGTTAAAAGTTCGAAAATGGATAGAGCTACTTGCCGAAACAAACACAAGTATCGATTCCAGGTTAGTTGGGTTTATTCATAAAAATAAGTTTAGTATCCACATCTTTTGTAGTATGAAAATAAATCTTAAGATCCTTTTCAACTCGAATGAATTTCGGCTGTTCAGTCATTGAAAATCAGAGAAGTATTGGACAGCTCTTTCGTGGCGGTGTGATAAAATGAAAACTACGTTTGAAATGCAAAAACCTCCGTAATTAAATAATAGATATATATCCTCACTCGTGACAAACTTTAATATGGTTTGTGATCGAAATTGTCAGCTATGACGAAACATTATTATTTCGAGAGTTGAAAGGCGTAACTCATCAATGATATCAAATGACGACTGTGATACACTAGAAATTAGGTTAGCTTGAAAATATAGACTGAGGGGTTTCTATTCAATGACTTAACACTACTATAATCTTAAAAATACCAGAATATCATTAGTTTAATCCTGTCTGCCTGCACTACCAGGACAAAGCTACTAACCAGCATCCCCTGTTTCCTAGTACTTTTGAACTGAAGTTAGGTGATTTAAAATCACACAAAATTTCTATCAACCCACCTCACTCAGCGTTTAAGGTTGTATACCAACCTCCGAAAAAAATTTAACACTTAACAATATCCCTGTAATTATAATACATTAAATGATTTATGGGTTTGAAGTATGTGGAACTAGTTCGCACAACTGAAACTTGTACTAAACTGATATTTACAAGCCTTTTCTAAGTATTAACAAATAGGAAAATAATAACTACACACAGTTGAATACATTCAGATTCAGAACATTTTGGGGAATCAATCTACAATTTTGATTGGGGTTATACAGTTGGCTATCTGTTCAACAACGTAGAATAAGATGAAACCAATAATTAGGTTAGTAACTCTGAGATTTACAAATAACCAGTTTTAAAGAAGCTAGTCAACATATTGGCAGAACTTTGCAATAAACTTAAAAGATTACTTGAATTTTGATCACAACTGATAGGTGGAACAAGATCGATTGATCAGTAACGGAATAAAGCGATTAAGTGAAGTTCAGCACATATCACGAAACACTTTACAATTTCTTTTAAACAAGAAGTTCACGGAAAAAGATGGTTTTTACTTTCAGCTCATCAACAAATCTTACGCCACTCAATCAATTATTTAGCTATGAGTGACGTAGAACGCGACACATATGTGCACCGGTTCGAGCACCCATACCAAATAAGGACAACAACATAAAATTACTTCAAAACAAATCACAGTCATTACAGTGTCAGTAGTAGTAAAAGGGTTTAGATATAGAAAAAGAAGGTATAAGTAGATTTCAGGACTTATATTCTGAAGAAGGACAAGGAGTGAATACTTCTAGACCATTGCGAATGATTCTGAGCCATGTCACACAAAGTCTTAAACAACTGGTTACGATAACCCCCCTGACCCCAAACAGATGGTTTACAGCTATCAACATGGCTCAGTTAGATTATTAATAACTTCATAAACACGTTCCACTTCATGATTTAGCCGCTCCTATCTTTCTTTCAACCCACTCCTACACCAGAAAACATTTCCCGTCAATGTAGGTGTTATTGACTATGTTACGTTTTATATCTTATACCAAATAATAATCGCCAAAAACGATATTAGGATATTCAAAAGATATGAACAAAGCATGCGTAATGTAAACTCCGCTTATTACAAACCAATTTCTTTTATAACATAAATATTGATTTGACAAATAACGGTGTTGACAATTTAATAACCATGACTGAATAAAGCAAAAAATTACAAAAGGCGTATAACACTGACTTTCAAATTTGCATTTTTATTTACTGGATCAGGATCGTCAGTTAACAAAAAGATGTGTTTGATACCAAATGTCTTTGAACTAAAAAAAAGATAAAACTGAATTAAGAAGGTTGCCATCTATATATATAATCACGTTATGACAGTCAGCATCAATTAGTGTAGGAGACTGGAACAAACAAACATCAACTTAATTGCCGCAACATACAAAAATACGGTAAGATGAAATTAGCAAGATCAACAAAAAAGGAGTTCAGATAATAGTACAAAGGATGACAAGATAAAAGATTGAACATACGAACAAATAGTATTGAGAGCTAAAATCTAGGGGAAGGTAAATAATGAATAAACGGCCACCAGTCAATCAGTTCATGGGCTAATGCCATATCTTGTTTTAACAACTTTTAATTTTCTTTCAACCTATTTTTAGGCTAGTCAATAGTGGGTCTCAAAGTAGACGACAGTCGGGTACATATGATATATGTTTCAGTTATCCTACACGATAAAGATCCACATCATAATCAATTGACTAAACATGTTGATCTAAACCATACACCTAACCTCGATCAAACGTCCGGCATACTGGTAAGTAACCATAAAATTTCAATAACACTGACTTAAGGACTGATAATCACTTCGTTTCCTTAGAATAAAGGAGACTGACAATTTCTACAAGATTGCAGATACAGTTTATTGAACACCAAACAGCCGGAAATCTAGGTCGAATGCTTCATGTAAAATTGCATTCAACAACATAGCATCGCCAAACAAACCACATCATGATAACAAATCACTAAATGTAGCGGCTATATTGTAACAAGTTAAGTAGAATTGGATCAAAATGTGGTGGAGATTGACAAAAGATATTTTAAAACTTAAATTGCTGATTGAAGTCGCCAGAGGATAACTGATCAAGATAGAATTCCAACAAACAGTTTACAGATAAATCAAGTGTTCTATTAAACAAAATTTAAATGATAAATTAGTGTGACGTCTGAGTATTAACAGATATCCGTGCTAGTTATTTTAGCCTAATATTTTCACCTAAATGATAAAAGCAGTGGCTGCCAAAATGAACAATTAGACTAACTGATATAGTATAGATTGAGAAATAAAACCTCAAATAAATTCGCTGTCGTTCAAAATCTCAAATTCTCGTAGATACAGAGCAGTTATTAAGTTATGATTTGACTGGTATATAATCTCTGTAGAATTAAATTAAGCACTCCGACTGGTCAGTAATGTATCAATCATGTTACACAATTGAACCGTTTGTACTGATCATAACCAGTCTATCATATGTTTAATGCAAACACTAGACTACATTAGTCGTTATTGTGTAGAGAGATATAGGCAGTGATTTTAAAAAGATCGACCTATACAGCCGAACTTTAATTCCATTGAAAAGTGAGTAATGTACAAAACTCACAGACTTCAATGAAATATAGTTATAAAAATCCCCATAGAATATTCAAAAACGAAGAATATTTGAGCGAACAATTGTTTTCAATAACTTCATCATCAGGCTCTACAGTTATAAGTCCATAATTATAATATTTTACAAAGGCCAAAAATAATAAGGCATGTTTTAATGAGTTTGACAATGTTATGTGTTAAAAATGGTGGACATTTGCATCTGTTACGATATATATATATATATATATATATATATATACCGAAGATGGGCTCCACCATGTGTGTATACCAATTCAACTGCTCCTGTGGAGCTAGTTACATAGGCCGTACTCAGAGGGCTTTAACCTTGCGTGTTCGTGAACATGTACCAGCATGGTTGGGAAAAGGAGTCACCATATCGATTAACAGCACCATTCTTTCTCACTTGGTAGATAGTGAACATCATATTAAAATAGAGGAAGCTTTCTCTGTTTTATATCAAGTTCCAAAATATCTACCTCAAGGAGCTAGATTACGACTGCTTTACACAGCCGAAGCCATCTGGATCAACTCCAGAAGACCTAACTTAAGCATCCAGAAAAAATATATCCAGCCTCTATGTTTACCCTGGCCTACGACTAGATCACCAAATACCTAGACTGAATATTATAAACCTCTTACCCCTTCCTTCCTTCATTTTTATTTTTATTTATTTTCCTTATTATCATTATTTGTCATTATCTACATCTTAATCTTCATATCCATCATTCCCAATTTGTTGACCGTAATTACCTTGATAACACCCCCCTTATTACATATTATATTCACACAACATTATTATTATTATTATCTCAGTTGACAAAATTATTTTCAATTTTGCAATAGTACTATTATATTATCTTATTGTGACTGAACAATTTACTGACCTTTACTGAATGACCTTTCTAATTTGCAAATATTACAATTTTTTGAAGTATATATATATATATATATAATATCAGAATGTGTTTTGTGGAGATTTTTAGAAATTTTCACAGATTGAAATCATGAGTCAGTTGAAGCTAGACCACCATTGAAAACCTGGAAGCACTGGACGGCCGTTTCGTCCTGGTATGGGACTCCTCAGCAGTGCGCATCCACGAACCCGCACCACCCGGGGCTCGAACCCAGGACCTACTGGCTTCGCGCGCGAGCACTTAACCATTAGACCACTGAGCCGGCATCCAACGGTGTTAATGTCTAACTTCAACCAATCCACGAAGTTGCGCTACCGTACACCATTGTCTAGTGAGAAGTCGTTACCAGTGGAGTTCAACCAGGTCTGTTGTGAGATAGGAACTCACTGAAGACAATGGTGTACGGTAGCGCAACTTCGTGGATTGGTTGAAGTTAGACATTAACACCGTTGGATGCCGGCTCAGTGGTCTAATGGTTAAGTGCTCGCGCGCGGAGCCAGTAGGTCCTGGGTTCGAGCCCCGGGTGGTGCGGGTTCGTGGATGCGCACTGCTGAAGAGTCCCATACCAGGACGAAACGGCCGTCCAGTGCTTCCAGGTTTTCAATGGTGGTCTAGCTTCAACTGACTCATGATTTCAATCTGTGAAAATATATATATATCGTAACAGATGCAAATGTTCACCATTTTTAACACATAACATTGTCAAACTCATTAAAACATGCCTTATTATTTTTGGCCTTTGTAAAATATTATAATTATGGACTTATAACTGTAGAGCCTGATGATGAAGTTATTGAAAACAATTGTTCGCTCAAATATTCTTCGTTTTCAAATATAGTTATGTTTATTTCTGCATCCGATATTGCTACTTTTACTGGAAGAAAAAAGTACTCCGGCAACCAGTTGTTTCGTCTTTGAACTGAGTCTATTTGGGAAAAACTTACGTTAATGACTAAATCTTGTAAATAGCTATCAATTGTTAATAGAGTATCCGTGCATAACATTCACTGATCACCATTCTACTCATTAATTTAACAATCTCAAACGTGCATGACCATAATGTAGAAGCGCATTGATGAGGAGTCCCATACTGGGTTGGAACGGCTTTTCAGTGCTTCTAGGTTCTCAATCGTGGTCTAACTTAGATCGAATCACGATTGTAATGAAATTCAACAATCTCCAGAACCCCTTACTGACAACGAAAAAATAATCTACGAAACTTACCAGGTGATAAATTGATTTTGACAAACCCACAATGCTTCGTGTAGAGGAAAAGTAATATTAGGTTGATTTACAATAGTACCATATCGTTTCTCCAATTCATCGGGTTTTAACTGTCTCAACTTTTCAATTTCTAATATACGTGTAGAATCAGCCAAACCTAAAGGCTAAATGAATTACATATATATACATTACAGAACCAATTTAAAGTTAAATAAAAAGGAATATGGTCAATTTAGTTCAATTCATTATATGAATAAACTGTATATAATCGACACAAATCCATGTTTTTCGACTTATCCCTGTGAAGGCTAGCGGCACTATCTGAGTGCTTGGACTGAAATATGTGGGGCGAAGCTCAAACTTGTGAAATAGAGTTTGAAAGTCGGATATCTTAACTATTAGGCACTCATTTTATCATAAGGATAGACAGGTATGTATTGCCTTTATAGTTCTGAAGTTGAATATAACGTCAATCTCTGATGCAGACAACAATATAGTCAAATAAACGTAGGTTTCATTTGAACATCTTTTAGTGATAGATATTGAATAAGGATAACTGATCTTAAAATGCTTTGTAGTAGAACTGTCGAGTGTTCTGATAACATTATTGAAGTATTCACATTATATGGTACCAAGGTTTGTTAAGCCCAATACGTAAAACAGATCTTTATACTTTTTAAACAATGAAACAGATATGAAATTGATCAAACGATAATAGTGAGGCTTATCAACTGAAATAGTTATGCAATCTATGTGAAATATTTGAAATTCGTTTCGAATCTATACGTAGTCGTAATGAGTACATTATTTTAAGCCTTCCTCATAGTTAAAGTCTGGAATCCTGAAGGAAGGCGGAAAAGAGGAAGGCCAAAGAACACATTACGTCGGGAAATAAAGGTAGATATGGAAAGGATGAATAGCAACTGGAAGGAGCTGGAAAGGATTGCCCAGGATAGGGTTGGATGGCGAATGCTAGTGAGCGGCCTACGTTCCTTCACGAGGAGTAACAGGCGTAAGTAACTTAGTTAAAGTCTAGTTCCTAAAAACTCATGAAAAATAACTTTTTTTTCTTAAATGATTGGTGACTCTCAAATGATACAGATGTCTTATTATACTACAAGGTATTGCGCAACACATGTACTTAGAAAACAAACTGAATAGATTTAATTACCAAAATCGCCTGATGAAGTATATAGAAAATAATCATAAGTTTCTATCTAACTTTATAAAGAAGTTTCACACCATACTGAACATCCTGGATCGAAATTTCCTAACAGTATACAGCTTCTATCTAGGACAACGTTCACGCTTACTAGTAATTGATAAGATAGTTACCCAGAATTAAATAACGACAGAAACGAGATAATTGTAACTGGAAGTATAATGACCGAAATATGCCAACACAACTGAATAATGTTCTATCAGATTACAACATAATCCCCAAGAAACTAGGGATGTGTAAGTTTATTAATGCAGAAAATATTTATCATTTCGTAATGTTTCTTTTCGCGCTCTTGAATATAACCATCACGATATAAATTTACTAATTCCACTTTTCCTTTGAAGCTTATTATATGTTACCAATCAACCACCGACTTTCCAACCACTAATTTAGTTGACTGACACTAAAAGCCAATAAAAACTAACTTTGCATATATTACAGAATACATGTGATGCTTACCCAGTTAGCTGAACCCCATGGAAAGTTCAAATATTCAATCTAATGACTTAATCTCTCATGTTATAACCAGTAAGCGCTTTAAATAAATGCTAATTTCAGTAGAATAATACTGAAGTTACATAAATCCCGGCAACAACTTAAGCTAGAGAATGATGTTCTTTAGAAAGTACAAATCTAAAAAAACTGCCTCAATTAAGAAAAGTATTCAATTATATACATATTCGATCAACAATAGAAACGAATGCACAAGTATTGGTTTTTGCCAAGTCAAAAATTCAACCCAAATCGTAGATATTTTCAAACTATAACATACGATTATTAACACATAAAGAATGTGGGTTTTTTCTCAAATTTTCTGACATTTCTTTCTTTTTTAATAAGTGAAAATACATTTGCACGATGTATATGATATCTGATACCTGGTGTATCTTTTGGCGTGTTTCAAATTATCCAGGACAGGGGTGATAACAATGTGTAAATGCAGTGTTACTATTTTCGGTATATATATATATATATATATATATAAAGTATGAGTACTTTGATATCTAATGTGACTTCTTTTTGATTCACGAATATCTTCAACAGAAATCCAACAAAAACTTTAGCTACTAAAAAAAGCAGTTGATTTGTAAATACTCTAGTAGCTTGTGTTCAGTGGCAAGCTGGATTAATTTAATGTGCCAATGAAAAGCGGTACATTTTTAAGTAACATAGTATAATGGAACTTGAAGAACTCTGTATCACTGAGTTATGACACTCAGTTTTATTATATTGTAGCTCTCAGTAGTTAATAATATTATCATAAAGTTGTCAAGCATCAATTATACTGTTCTATTGATAATGATCGCTGTATATACATTAAATGAAATGGAAATGTACTATTTATTCATCTAATTTAGTCCTTATAGAGATTTAAAAATAGTTTAAACCGGTTATGAAGCATTACTTTATATCTCGATGATGTGAAGTTTGTTTAATCAGTTAATCAATCGTGAACACCATTACAGTTGGAACACATGAATACTGGTCTATATTATTATATTTCAACATTAACAGAGAGATGAGAAATTGGACAAAATGGTAATCGAAAAAGTCGAATCAATAAAAATTACAACCAATATACAAAAATAATAAACATGGTGAATATAGCCCGTAAAAGACACAATTAAATTGAGGAACAGAAATTATGAAAAGCATTATTGAAACTCAGGAATTAAGGTAAATAATGAAGTGACTACATCAATATCATTATAACAGAATTGAAGAGATGTCATCTAGAAATACCAACTACAGATTATGAATACTGTGAATGCATGAACTAACACGACTAATATCAGTGACCTCATGAAATGATGGAATTGTGTGGTCTGATACAATCAACCTTCTTACAACTTCATCTCATACGATACAAAGTTTTTATTAGACAGTAATTGCTCAATAAGAGCATTCAAAGTCATATATTTTGTTAGTTCACATTTCACAGGATTCTAAGGATCTATCCAAATTTATTATTTATTTATTATAACACATAGATATTGGTACAAGGAAGCACCAAATACATATGCGCCACAAAAATCTCATTTGATATATGTGAGGCCTGTGATACTACCCGGGTGCCCAAACCGAGGCGGGTAGTTTTCTTAGAGGGTCACACTCGGAGCCTTCAACCTGAAGGTCTGATCCACAAGGCAGTGGAGCATCGTAAGGAGATGCAGTCCCATGGAAGCCGGTGACCAACAATTGGTTCATATGCCATTTGTTCCCGCAGGATACTGGAGCCCATGTGCACCATTGGTTTGAAATCCGGTTAAAGCGCCGGACATTCACTTTTCGTCCTCTCATTTTAGTAAACAACACCCGTGGTGTGAGAAGGCAGTGAGTAGGACTTCCCTGGCAGAGGCTATATACGCGTGGCCATGTGAGAGCATTTCGAGAGGGAGGACAGACTTTCCCCACTCTCGGCCGTACCAGGGCATTTGGGGGCGATCTATCCAAAAGCCCAAAAACATTCATTATATATATATATATATATATATATATATATATATATATATATATATATATATATATCACAAATTGTCACCTGATCAAATGTGACTACAATGTTGGATTGTTATGAAATATATCCAAGTTATTCATAACTAGTCCGAAATGGTTAACTACAGTCGGCAACGATTTCGACAATTTATACTTCCATGTTTATTGGAACATCATTTTAACACAGAGAATGTAATGTATTGCTATTTCGAATGATTTAAACAACGAGGAGAGATATCGGTATAAGGTTGTGGAGAATAATGAATTTTATTGAAATCACGAATCAATGTAGGTTTGATAATAATTGGAAACCTAAAAGCAATGAACAGTCGTATGGGATTCCCTATAACAGGGAATCAGGCCCAAGACCTACAGTATCCTGACATTTTATCAAGAAGTTGGCATTATGATAAAACAAACTGATTATGTTCATGATCGAAAATATGGAAAATAAAAGATTATGGAGGGAGATGTAAACGATTGTCACCAATCCAAATTAGTATCATACTTTTAATTAATATGGAAAATTAGTTAAGGAGAACTTTTAACTAACCTGTAAAACCATAATATTCTTCATGTCAACAGATGACTCATTCTTTAAAAGAGAGATAAAAGACAATAATATATAATAAAAATACTTTCTTGAATATGATATTCCTTTCTAATATAAAACCCATCAGAAGTGCACGTCAACAAATATAATAAGGATGAAAGCCAAGTATCATCATAGCCCACGACGAGTTCTTGAATTTTGGACTAACGCTTTACCATTCCAACTTCAGTCGATTTGCGCGTTTGCCTAACTATCATCCATTGCCATTGGTGATGTTCATCGTACATTCTACACTAATCATAGTTTCTCACTAAAACTCCTGGAATTAACACTTGAGGTTAATCACTAGTAAACAAATGATGGTTACTTTTATAGATAATTGCGGAAATTCTTAGATTTGAAGTTTTACATTACAAATTGAACCTAATTAAAAACCAGGAAGCACTGGACAACTGTTTCGTCCTGTTAAGGGACTCCGTAGCAGTACACAATCATGACTCCACACCAGTTATTGGAGCCAAGACCTTAAAATCTCGAGGTGAATACTTAATCGCTAAGACCATATAGTTTATATGCCGCTTATTTATTTAAAATGATGAGATACTTCTTAAACATAAAATAAACTGACAATTTATCTAAAGAGGTATATTTAATTGAAATTTATATACATCAACATCAGTGGGTGATATGAAACAAAACAATTTCATTAAGGAGTGATGTCAGATGGTGAACTATTGAAAATTAAGAAGTACTTTAGATAAACCTTGTCATGTAAGGAGACAAACCAATGAAAAGAAAAAAAATTAAAATATTTCGATTAAATAAGATAGTATAACTAAACGTTAGTAACAATAAGGCTTACTGTACGCATTAAAACAAGCCCGATCATATCAAAAGGACTATGAAGTGCTTTATTCTGTTGAAATGTTTGACAACATAACAGACTTAAATCAAATCCACTTTTTACTGATGATGAATCCACTGCATTACTATTATTTAAATCGAATGAACCATGTAATCCAAGCATTGTCGGCGTACAATCAATTAAAAATATTACACCAGAACGCATGTCTTGTAGCTAGATAAAAATAAAAAGGAGAACAATTTACAATTTAAAGTCTATACAGATAACAAACAGACTACTATTTAATGTTGTATGATTAGGGGCCAAATAGTTAAAAACCAATCAATAATCCACATTTGTAAGCATCTAACAGGAAAGAAGTATTCAGAGAATAACTTATTTCTTGGAAAAAAAGCCTAGGTACTTGGCTTTCAGCTAAACTGTTCGCGTAAGTAATAACGATTATATTAGCGCAAAAGGGTTTAAAGAAATTGGTTAATTTCGTAGTTTACATCACGAACTGGTTTAGTTGGACAACCATTAAGAACCAAGAAACATTGAACAGCTGTTTTGTCCTAGTGTTATGACTTTAAGTTTGTCGTCGATTTTTACCCTGTGCTAATTGTTGTGTCCTTGACTGGAAAATTAGAGAGCAGCGTATTTATCGATCGATTACAATGACACGTAAACACGTACGGACGGCCTAGAGTCTCGATTGGTCCCACTTCCCTATCTAGCCCAGTTAGTTGAGTCCAGAACACAAGTCACAGCCTCGGAGATATGAATCATTGTATTTCAGACATACTCTATTTATATACTAACCAAACAAACCACATCGTACCATAAAAATAGAAAACAACATTTGTACAATATTTAACGGATGAAATAAATAATGACCAATAGGAAATGTCCATTTAACGTCCAAGGACATCACTAGGCTTAACATGATAATGATTGGCACATTATTCTGCATCCATAACACCTAGTATTGAATTTCCCAACATTAGTATTCATGGGCCCTATCAGGGATAGAATCCAGGACCTTTAAATCTCGCCATGAACACTAGTTCGACAACCAACGACTAACATTTCTAAATTTGGCCAGTTCACGGTGCTGTACAACCACCTTCCGAAGCAGCTAAGTAGTCCTATACTAGGACAAAGAAACTGTGTGGTGTTTCGTGGCTTTCAACAGTTGTCTAAGGTCAGTTCATGATGTAATCTAGAAAAATAGTGATACAACCTGGGTGCTACTACAAACATAGGTGAAACAGAATCCGAACTGTATTCCCTACCAATCGAAGGCCAAATATTTGAATTACTGAGCCACTATTTTACAAGAGGCATCTAAATCTGTAAAATGGAGAATTAATTCACATGATGAATTGTTAACAAACATTAGTACAACACTTTCTGTTGATAGTCTAATATGAGAGTTCAAATTTTGGGGCCTCACCTAGTTGCGCTGACATACTTAGAAACTCATTATCAAAGTAAAGTCACCACTGTAGCCTTGATAACATGGAACTCATTAATTTGTTGGAAGGTCGGGGATAGTCAACGGAAAACCCAGAACATAGATTTCGTCCTAGATGACACGCCACAGCCAAGGGTACCTGTAATCTTTACAGGACTGATTCCTTCACAAGTCAACTGGGGCTAGTTAATCTAGATATGAATTCTAACATTTACAAGTGACAATGTTATATAACCGTCCAACAAGTGATATCTATCGTAATTCTTTAGCTGAGTGGGTACAATTGGAAATCTGAACAATGTTAGGTTTGAGTTTTGACAAGAATATCCTACACCAGGATTCAAATACATTGGCCTCGAATGCTCTGGTACGACCGGGAGTGTGGTGAGTCAGCTCTCACTCTCCAAATGCTCTCACACGACCACGTGCATACAACCACTGCCACAGAAGTCCTACTCACTGCCCTCTCGAGGCATTACTGTTGTTTACGAAATTAAGAGGATGAAAAGTGAATGTCCGGGGCTTTAACGGGGTTGGTGGGTATGGAGGATCCACATAGGGGAGTTGAAAAATCCTGATTCCAAACCAATGATGCACATGGGTTCCAGGATCCTGAAGAAACAAATGGCGTATGAGCCAATTATTGATCACCGGCTACCATGGGACCACATCACCTAAAGTTGCTCCACTGTCTTGTGGATTAGACCTTCAGGTCAAAGGCTCTGGGTGTGACCCGGTTAGTATCTCAGCCGTCACACAAATCATTTGATTTATGTGGCGAATATGTATTTGGTGCCTCCTTGTACCAATGTTTATGCGTTTAAATAATAAACAATAATGCAAATACATTGATATAACAAGCCGCAAATAGAACAATTTTTTTGTCCTGAATATCATTCTGTTAGCTATTTCCCAAAATACAACCATACCTGTCCATTTAAACTGACTCTTTTAATCATAAATCATACCTTATAATAGATTATGATGAATCAATATTCAAGAATTTTGAACCAAGTACCCCACGGTGGAATTTACAAACATTTTTTCATTTAAATATTATTTTATTTAATGTTCCTCAAATATATGAACAAGTATAAGGAAATAATAAAAACAAATTTATATCTCACAGGTTTACTATTCTGTTCTTGTTCATTATCTTCATTGTCCAGAAACTCTCCAAAATAATTGTCAATACTGGTCATATTACTACTAAAATAAGACAATCAGGATTTTAATAATTTTATATAAGGTGATGAGTTCATTTATATCAAAAAAGCGGAAAAAAATATGATTGTGGCTACTAATAGAATTCAAGAGGCGCATTTTTAACAATTTGTGACTTAACAACTGAATCTATTCATATAGAGTATTAAACACACCAACTCATTCTTCAGCAGGTGATAAGTCGAGACAGGTGAACGTAAAGATAGATTCTTAAGAAATAAGTGGCTAAGATATATAATCAGTAATTAAGATTGTTGGTCGAAGTAGGAGTTTTTCTACTTTATACTTTGATTTATACTGCTATGACATTAGAATAATCTTAGTGCACAATTTATTCTGCCGTGACCATAAAATATTCTTTATTGTAATTTCACATCAATTAGAAATGTATGTGAAGAATCATATTTCACGCTATGCAGTGATACTTAGTAATCACAGGTCATGTGATATCGTCTAAAGTTTCCAGGACTCGGAATAATGAACTAGGTCATGTCAATGACTTAATCATCATTGTTGTCTAGATTGAGATATTTTGCGGACCGTAAAGTAAGAGTGATAATTTTCGCAGATTCTAGATGTATAGTATTTTGACATTGTCTTCTGAACCTTTTAAAATACATTTTCAAATCTTCTCGTTCTACACACTGTGTTATGGTTTTCAACAGAGAATATTAAACTACTGTTTTACTTTCTACCGTATAACACGATAGGAAAGCTCCTCTAAATGTATGAACTAAATGGGTGGATGTGATTGACATTAAACCTCGGATCTAAATATCATGCTAGTTGACGCTCATCATTAAAACATATCAACAGTCTTCGGGAAAATGCACTTCCCCATGTTATTCAAACCAATTTGGCCGCAGCTGCTGAGTTGACTTGAAGGTCGACCTTGCGTATAGTAATGATCCAACCGAGCAGTGTTGGATAGAAGATTGGTTGCTTTAGACTCAAGCATTCTAAGCAGGTCGTTTGAGAAATGGAAAGACTAAATACAAGAAAGTAATGATCCGAGAACGGAATTGTACTGTTGACTGTACAGAGGTGTAACGCCTAAAAACTAGCATCTGCAGCGGTGCTTCTTTCCCACAACGAAAGGGGGGTAAAGACTGTCGACTCTGAAAGTACCACACCTCAACTTTACTCCACAGATTCCTGTCACCGATGGCAATGCCTTTAAAGTATGAAGCCATCTCATCTAAAAATAATTACTAAAAAGCTCTAAGTACTCATCTCTTGGGTTCTGCAGTCCTACTCTCAGATTGCTAGGACCACTACTAACCCAGTTTACTTTGCTGGGACCCCAAGAACTGTCCTTCTATGGCGTGGGTGACCAGGAAGTGATAACCGCCTACGCGCTACTAATAACACTAGAGATCATCTCACTCAAGATTCAAACCCATTAACATCCAGCACTAAAGTACATCACCACTAAGCTATTCAGGATACATACGTGTGCACAGATGTATACAAAAATAATTTTAAAAATGTACATTCACAAAAGACGAAATAACATGAAGTTAATTATTTACTTATTTATTTCGAAGTGAAAAAAATGAACAGAAAAGAGAACACAAAATTATGCTTTTTCACAAGTTTTATAAGTATTTTAAAAACCAATTTACGCAATTCACAAAAACATCTAATGAACATGCTGGCGAATCCAACGGATGTGAATCATATGGATAGAGCAATGTTTCACATGGTACAGTTGGACATAAGGCTTTCAACTTTCGACAGAATGTTAATCCCTAAAATTAAAATAAACAAGTAAATAATGAGACAGAGAATATCATTGTGATAAAGATGTATCGAGTGATGACAATTTACACTAAAATAGATAACTATTAAACAATCTCTTTTTAGTATAAGGGGATTTGTAGAGATTATAGAACTTCAATAGGTTAAATCACGAACTAATTCAAATTAGACAACTGGAAACCCGGAAGCGCTGAACGCCCGTTTCGTTCTAGCACGAGACTTCTCGTTAGTGCGTGTTCACGATCGCACTTGAAGGACTCAAACCTAGGACCTTTAAACTCGAGCGCGAACGCTTAACATACAGACCACTGATCGTGCATCCCATGGTGCTAATATCTAACCTGAATCAACCCATAAAAATGCGCGACCATCTTTCATTGTCTCCAGTGGGTAACTGCCTCATAATCGATATGGTTGGACTTCACTGGTCAAAGCTTCTCACTAAAGCTTCAGGAGTCGTATCTTGCATTTATTCACCAGTGAACAAATAGTCATCAATAATATAGGGGGATTTGTGGAAACTGTAGGATTTCTAAAGTTCCAATCACGAAATCATCTTAGCTAGATCAACACTGAAAGCCTGGAAGCACTGGGTTGTGGATACTTCGTAAATATTATAACTTGCAATTTAAAACTACTAACCTGACTATTTGGTACACGACGATCTTTCCCACCTAACAGCATTAACAAAGGTACAGACCATGTTTTATCTAAATATTTCAAAGGAGATTGATTTGACAAACGCATTAATTCATTGTCATTCGGTAAATGACCAAGAGGCCATTCACACCAATCTGCTAAACCTGATTCAGTATAACACCAATCCGGTATATCAGATGTATCAATAAGACTGACTAAATGAGCCACTGGATTACGAGCTGTAGCTACATGATACAAATTTTTATATCGTGAGGCTAAATGTAACGTTAAGAAGCCTCCATGTGAACCACCAAATAAAACTGCTTTCAAGTTGGACCCAAATTTCTGCAAATAATTCAATGCAAATTTAGTAGCCTAAAAAGAGGGATGCGAGAAAAGAGAGAAGAGGGGATATGAAGTAAAAAAATGAAAAAACTACACTACAAGAACGGTGAATAGATTATTTTAACATTACAATTGATCAATAAAATAATGAATCAACTGATAATAGGCTGAACAGAATAAACAGATAAAGTGGCTCAGAACCAAAACAGAAAACTGGAAACGAAATCAATGAATATCAAGTGACAATACAACTTAGTTGATTGACTTCTGGTTAAATTCTCGTTAATTGTATGAAAGTATCATTCATGTTTCATACAACATAAAAAGACTATAGGTGATCTACTAGATCATAAGTAAGAATAAAATTCACCAGGACACCAAGAAAAGCTTATACTGTTGACTATTTATTACACAAGACAAATTAAAATAGGGACAACTTGTGAGATTTGTGTAATATAACTGTGTTACTCATAAGTAACTATATTTTCAATATACAATATTTTGTCCGAATTTCATTGGTTAATCGCAAACCATTCTCTGATTGCCCGATACATTTTTATATGTCCAGACATAAAACTGGACATCTGTGCACAAAGTGAACAGATATTGTTGCTGATTTTTGTGGAGTTCCACTCTCTGAATCTGAGAACTTTACCAAAATCATCCACCTGAGCTGCAAATCTCTACCATCCCAATTATTGCTGAGGTTGCCAACTTGCAGGAGATTTTTTTTCAACATAAGCTAACTATTATTATAGTATTATTATAGTATAGTAGTATAGTAGTAGTATAGTAGTAGTAGTAGTATAGTAGTATTATTATAGTATTATTATGATGTCATAGTATTATTGAAACCATTACTACTTATTGTTAATAAATAGGCATTTATGTAGAGATAGGTACATGTAAGTAGGTATGTATATAGGTGCAAAAGTAGGATGAGAAAAAGTAATTAAGGATATACAATATGAATGCTGCTTATTTATCGCAATAATTAATCACTGATATAACGGGATAAAAAGATAAAATTATTGAGGCCAATATATTTTGGGCCAATTCGTTGTGAATTTCGACCACAGTGACAGGTATGAGCTTCGTTCAGGTGTGACGCTTTAAGGTCAAGATCTTCGTTCAATATGATAAGTGTGAACTTTCGTTTAGTCTGACAAATATATTCCCTGTATCAGCTCTTAAATACTTACTTACTTACGCCTACTACCCTTCGTGAAGCATAAGCCGCCCACCAGCATTCTCTATACTACTATGTCCTGGATAAGCCTTTCAAGTTTTTCCTGATAGTTATCCATCCTTTCGATGTCTGGCTCCAATTCCCGATGCAATGAGCTCTATAGTCTGCCTATTACCTTTTGCATTCAGGATTCAGTCATAGTTTGCCTCGTGATGCAGTTTGACGATTTCCTCAATGTGTGTCCAATCCACTTCCAACGATTTTACCTAATTTCCTTATCACGTAGAAGCTGGTTTATTCTCTCTCACAGTAGGCTGTTACTAATGGCATCCGATCAACGGACATTGAGTATTTTGCATAGACAATTGTTTAGAAATACTTGTGACTTTTCGATCATGGTTGTGGTAGTTCCCCACTACGTTAACTTCGTACAGTAGAACTGTTTTGACGTTAGTATTGAAGAATGTGACTTTGATATTGATTGACAGTTGTTTTGAGTTCCGTATGTTCTTCAACTGTAGGAATGCTGTTCTTGCTTTGCCAATCCACGCTTTCGCGTCAGCATCAGATCCTCCACATTCATCGATGATGCTACCCAGATAAATGAAAATTTACACCTCTTCCAAAGTTTCTCCATCAAGTGTGATTGAGTTGGTGTTCTCTGTGTTGTATTTGAGGATCTTGCTTTTTCCCTTGTGCATGTTGAGGCCTTCGATCGTTGGTGAAGTGACAGCCATTGGAAAATCTGTGGATGCCGCTTCGATGGCCAGTGAATTCAATGATGCTGATCTAGTCAAGAGTTCCTCAAAGTGTTCTACCCATCTTTTCTTCCATCCCCAAATCTCAGTGATTGAATGGCCTTCTTGGTCCTTCACCGATCTCTCTGATTTACTACATTTCCTTGCCAGTTTCTTCGTTGTGTCATGTAGTTGTTTGTTATTCCCTTCTCTCGTAGCTTTTTTCGCTGTCGTTGCTACCTTTTCCACGTATTTCTGCTTGCCGGCTATAATACTCCTATACGCTCTCTTATTTTTTTCTGTGTATTCGGCCTG